AGGTTTTCTGGTTACCTTGCTAGTACATTAGCAGCTGTTTCCTAGCGCTCGCTGATTTTCCCTTTTATTAGACGTATTTTATCACTGTCATTAACACCCTCCCATGCAATCCCCATCAATTCTTTTCTACCTTTAAGGTTGATAAACTTTTTCATAAAGCCCACCTAACCACCTCCCCTGGACCCTGTTCCCTCACAAATACTACAGTCACCCTCTGCCTCAATCCTTAATTTTTTAACTTATATCTTCAGTCTTTCCCTTTTTTACTGGCGTCTTCTCCAACGCTCTAAAACATGCGCTAGTCACCCCCGTACTTAAAAAGGCCTCACTGGACCCCACCAATCTTAGCAACCCAAGACCCATCTCCTTACTTCCTTTTGCCTCCAAACTCCTTGAGCGGCTAATCTACAACCGACTGAGCTGCCACCTCATTGAGAATAACAGTCTTGATCCCCTTCAGTCTGAATTTTGCCCACAACACTCCACAGAAACTGTTCTCCTAAAACTTACAAATGACTTACTAACCTCTAAAACTAATGGCCACTATTCCATAAATTTAGTCTTGGACCTCTCCTTTGACACAGTTTTTGGCCTTTGACACAGTTGACCACCCCCTCCTCCTCAAAAAACTCTATTTACTTGGTCTCTGTGACTGTACTCTCCGTTGGTTTGAATCTTACCTATCTCACAGACCTTCAGTGTCACTTACAACTCTACTTCTTCCTCTTCTACTCCTCCGGGGTCCTTGGACCGCTCCTATTCTCGTTCTACACTTCTTCCTTGGGTCAGCTGATAGCTTCCCATGGTTTCCAATACCATTTCTATGCTGATGACACACAAATCTATCTACTCCTCAGCTCACCCCATCAGTTTACTCATGTATCACCGATTTACTAACAGGCCTATCAGACTGGATGTCACACACCACTTCCTAAAACTCAATCTATCCAAAACTGAGCTCATAATATTTCCTCCCCATCATGCCTCTTCCCCTGATTTCTTGGTTTAGGATCAATAGCACTGCTATCAACCCATTCCCTCATGTCAGGGTGGTAGGAGTAACCCTGAATTCTGAACTATCCTTTCAGGCCCACATCCAATCCCTGTCCAAATCATGCTGCTTCAACCTCCACAACATCTCCGGAATACGCCCCTTTTTAACCAATAATACCACAAAGATCCTAATTCACTCCCTGGTTATCGCCTTGACTACAACTCCCTCCTCATTGGCTTACCTTTACAAAGGCTGTCCCCCCTTCAGTCTATCATGAATGCTGCTGCCAAACTCATCCACCTTACCAACCGTTCAGTATTTGCTACCCCTGTCTACCAATCCCTCCACTGGCTTCCACTCGCCCAATGAATAAAATTCAAAATACTAACAACAACTTACAAAGCCATCTACAATTCTGCTCCCAGCTACATCACCAACCTGGTCTCAAAATATCAACCAAACCGCTATCTTCGATCCTCCCAAGACCTTCTGCTCTCTAGTTTCCTGTGTAACCTCTGCCCATGCTCGCCTCCAGGACGTCTCCTGAGCTTCTCCCATCCTATGGAACTCCCTAGGCCAATCTGTCTGGCTATCACCTAATCTATCCACCTTTAGACAATCCCTGAAAACTTTTCTCTTTATAGAAGGCCATCCTGCTTCTAACTAGTAAAATGCCTTTTATTTCCTTCATCAGTTCATCACCCACAGCTATTACCTTTTGTATCACTCAACCCTTCCTCCTAGATTGTAAGCTCTAATGAGCAGGGCCCTCTGTTTCCTCTTGTACCAAATTGTGTTGTAACTGTAATGTCTACCTTCATTTTGTAAAGCACTGCGCAAACTGTTGGCACTATATAAATCCTGTGTAATATATAAAATAAATAAAAGTAAACAAGCTCTGTGTATTCTTGAGTTAAAAAAGGGAAAAATTTGAGTTCCTAGTCAGTGTTTTGCGTGGGTATGTGCAAATGAGCATAAATATTAATTGAATTTTCCTAGGAATGTATTGTACCTGTTAATGCAAATATGCACAAATACACGCAAAACAAACACCTGAAATTATGTCCGGAAATGCTGATACTCAAACAACAGTACTGTGTGCAAGAGGCCTAACTTGCAAGCAAAATGACAGCTCCTGACCACTTTGTTCTGTTTGTAAACAAAGCTGCTGGGGATTCTGGTAGATGGTAATAGGTTAAACCCCCAGAAAAAAACAAATCACACCAGTCCCTTTAGATCTGGTATGGATTTTAAGGGGAACCCCATGCAAACAAAGTAACAGAAAAAGGTCCCCCATAAATTCTATCTCAATCCAAAAATTAAAAAAAAAAAAAAAGCTTGAGCCCCCCCCTCCCCAAATCCATGCCTGACCCTTATATGAGCATGCAGCTTAGCAGGCCAGGAAAGGGGGAAGACAAGGGTGTTTTCCCCTTTTCCTCTTGACCCTTCACAGGCAATATGCTATCAACTTGGAATGTACCCATGTTAATGAGGACAAGGGACTCTTCTGCACAACTTTGTTCCAGTGGTTGTGAGGATCTGCAGGCAGGAGGATTATTGAAATCCAGAAGCCCCCTTTAACAATAAAGGGGCATGCATATACCTGCTCCTTTTGAGAACGAGTAAAGGAGACATAGCAGCCCTACTTATTCACTAAAAAAATTTAAACATAAAAACACACCCACTCACATATTTTGACAATAACAATAATTTACATTTTTGAATAAAAAAAAAAAACCTCTTGTAACATACTTCCACTATCAGTCATGATGCTTGATATCCACTGAAAGAAAGAAAAACTACCACCTGCCAACATGTTTGGTCCCGTTGCTTCAGTCCCTCTGAACGACAGGTCCAGAGGATGACAGCTGAAATAAAGAAAAGGGCTGGATTTCTCAGGTAATGTCGTTGAATCAGTTTGCTGGAGTGGGCTTGTCCCACAGATTTCAGTTGCCCACCCCTCTGATTGCTCTGAAGGTTTTGCATTGTTACGTGCTCCCTAATATCCTTTTGTGGTATCACCTCTCTGTAGAGCTCCCCTAAAACTCAGGGCACATGCTGTCAGGGCTCCCAGGTATGACCAGAGGTGTGTGACTGATGCAGGGAAACGCAGACTTCAGATATGTTATAAACAATACAATTTATTAACACTAACCATACAAACATAAACGCAGTGCAATACTAAACATAATACAGTGCAAACAAACCCAAACCAATCACCCACAGATAACAGTACATACAAGCAAGCGTCGTCAGGCAGGCCGGGTCAATATCAATTGGGCAGGTAGGTACAGGGGGAGCAAGCAGAGAATGGTCGGGGTCACAGGCCAGGTTCAGCAGGTAGCAAGCAGCGTAGTACAGAGGGTCAGGCAGAGAGATGGTCAGGGTCACAAGCCAGGGATCAAAACAGGTAACAAGCAGCGTAGTACAGAGGGGCAGGCAGAGGGACAGAAACAGGATGCAGGACAGATACAGGGCCCAGGACAAACACAACACCAAGGCAGAGTCTGTGGGTCTGGCCATCCCTTAAATACCCCAGCATCATCAGTTCCAGGTGTTAGCTGGCTAAAAGGTTGAGTCTCTGATTGCTGGGAGCACCCGCTGGCCAGCCCTGGTACTGCAGATCAAAAGGCAGGTGAGTCCCACCATTGCTGGCCAGTCCATTCCTGACAGTACCCCCCCCCCCCCTCAAGGAGCGGCCTCAGGACGCTCCAAACAGTCCTAGCTGGGCAAAATGTTCCACCGCCCGGGTCTGGTAACTGGCGGGATATCAAAGACTGGCACACCGGGCAGGACTCCGGGCAGCGGCACACCGGGCTGGACTCCGGGCAGCGGGCACACCAGGCTGGACTCCGGGCAGAGGGGCTGGACACCGGCAGAGGGGCACACCCGGGCAGAGGCACATCGGGCAGAGGCACACCGGGCAGAGGCACATCGGGCAGAGGCACCGGGCAGAGGCACACCGGGCAGAGGCACACCGGGCAGAGGCACATCGGATTACCAGGCGAAGCAGCAGGCAGCGGGCCCACCAAGCGGAGCAGCAGGCACCGGGCCCCCGGGCGGAGCAGCAGGCACCGGGCCCCCGGGCGGGCAGAGCACCGGGCCCCTGGGCGGGGCGGGCAGGCAGGGCCCCCCCCCGGGCGGGGCAGCAGGCACCGGGCCCCCGGGCGGGCAGCAGGCACCGGGCCCCCGGGCGGGGGGCAGGCACCGGGCCCCCGGGCGGGGGGACAGGCATCGGGCCCCCGGCGCGGGCGACAGGCACCGGCCCCCGGGCGGGCGACAGGCATCGGGCCCCCGGGCGGGGCGCAGGCACCGGGCCCCCCGGGCGGGGCGACAGCATCGGGCCCCCGGGCGGGGCAGCAGGCACCGGGCCCCCGGGGCGGGCAGCAGGCACCGGGCCCCCGGGCGGAGCAGGCAGGCACCGGCCCCCGGGCGGAGCAGCAGGCACCGGGCCCCCGGGCGGGGCGACCCGGGCCCCCGGGCGGGGCAGCAGGCACCGGGCCCCCGGGGGGGCACCGGGCCCCCGGGCGGAGCAGCAGGCACCGGGCCCCCGGGCGGGCGGGCAGGCAGGCACCGGGGGCCCCCGGGCGGGGCAGCAGGCACCGGGCCCCCGGGCGGGCACAGGCACCGGGCCCCCGGGCGGAGCGGCAGGCACCGGGGGCCCCCGGGCGGAGCAGCAGGCACCGGGCCCCCAGGCGGAGCAGCAGGCACCGGACCCCCAGGCGGGCCCTCAGGCGGAGCGGCGGGCGCCGGACCCCCAGGGGAGCGACAGGTCTCGGGCCCTCAGGCGGAGCGGCGGGCGCCGGACCCCCAGGTGGAGCGACAGGTCTCGGGCCCTCAGGCGGAGCGGCGGGCGCCGGACCCCCCCAGGCGGAGCGACAGGTCTCGGGCCCTCAGGCGGAGCGGCGGGCGCCGGACCCCCAGGAGGAGCGACAGGTCTCGGACCCTCAGGCGGAGTGGCGGGCGCTGGACCCCCAGGCGGAACGACAGGTCTCAGGCCCCCAGGCGGGGCGGCGGGCACCGAGTCACCAGGCACAACCGTGGGCTCCGAGTCAACTGGGATGACCGCTGGCACTGGGTCAGACATTGGATCGTCTGGCTGGACAGCGGGCATCGGGTCACCAGGCATCAGGTCATTTGGCTCGACAGCGGGCACCGCGTCATCTGGCAAGGCAGTGGGCTCCGAGTCAACTGGTATGACCGCGGGCACTGGGTCAGACATTGGATCGTCTGACTGGACAGCGGGCACTGGGTCACCAGGCATCAGGTCATTTGGCTCGACAGCGGGCACCGCGTCATCTGGCAAGGCAGTGGGCTCCGAGTCAACTGGTATGACCGCGGGCACTGGGTCAGACATTGGATCGTCTGACTGGACAGCGGGCATCGGGTCACCAGGCATCAGGTCATTTGGCTCGACAGCGGGCACCGCGTCATCTGGCAAGGCAGTGGGCTCCGAGTCAACAGGCACAACAGTGAGCACCGGGTCATCAGGTACCGGATTGTCTGGCTCGACAGCGGGCATCGGGTCACCAGGTATGACAGCGGGCACTGGGTCACCAGGCATCAGGTCATTTGGCTCGACAGCGGGCACCGGATCAGGTACCGGATCATCTGGATCAACAGCGGGCATCGAGTCAACTGGCCTAATAGGATCGTCAGGCTGGATCAGTTCATCATGCTGGGTAGAGGCATCAGGCTGAATGCCGGCGTCCGGCTGAGTAGAGGCTTCAGGCCAGGCCGAGTAGAGGCTTCAGGCCGAGTAGAGGCATCAGGCCGGCATCAGGCCGAGTAGAGGCATCAGGCCGAGGCCGAGAGAGGCATCAGGCCGAGAGGGCATCAGGCCGAGAGAGGCATCAGGCCGAAGAGAGGCATCAGGCCGAAGAGAGGCATCAGGCCGAGAGAGGCATCAGGCCGAAGAGAGGCATCAGGCCGAGTAGAGGCATCAGGCCATCAGGCTGAGTAGAGGCATCAGGCCGAGAGGCATAGGCTGAGTAGAGGCTCAGGCTGAGTAGAGGCTTCAGGCTGAGTAGAGGCTTCAGGCTGAGTAGAGGCTTCAGGCTGAGTAGAGGCTTCAGGCTGAACCACGGAAGGCAGGCTCACCGGTTTGGATACTGGCAGGATGGTATTGGTTGGAAAGAATTTTCGCTTTTTTCTGGTTTTAACTACTGGAGCACTGCAAGTAAAGCAGGTCTGCAAACGAATGGAGCAGCTGGAGACAGAGAAGAACTGGAGGATGGAACAGGAGAGGGAGCAGTTGCTACAGAGGGCTCTTTTACAGGGTTAAAGGCAGGAGGATAGGTGCAGCAGCGAGTGGGAACAGGGTACTGACATGCGGTAGATAGCAGGGCAGGAGGAGCTGTTGGGAATGCAGGAATAGAGTTTTGAGGAAATAGATTAGAAGCAGGACTGGGTCTTTGTAAGCTGACTGAGGCTGGGTGCAACAAATCTGTCCATGTCTGCAGTATGGGTTGAACAAAGCTGAGCTTACACAAAGCCTGTCTGGTCAATGACTGTACTGCGTTTATACAATCTCTTAGTGTCTGTGGTGAACATGTGGAATAACGCTCCAGAAAGTAACCCACATCATCCTCTAATAACCACACCAGGGACTCTACCTGGTCTGCACTAAATGGTGGCAAAAATTCATCCCTGCATTCGGGGGTACCAGATGAAACCAACTCAGCACAAACCTCAATCAATGGCTGCACCTCAGAGAACTCTGTGCCCTGATCTACTAGAACATGAGCGAGCCGTATACATTCTAGCAGTTCATCCCGGGTATACTCCTTCAGAGTTTGATAAAAGCATACTCCCTGTCATCAAACACTAGCAGATATAAATATTCAACCTCATCAAGATCCATCCTTCCCATCAACAAGCCAAGATGGCTTCCCTGTGCAGCCACTTCTGGTCAGGATTGGCCTTGGTGTAATGTCAGGGCTCCCAGGTATGACCAGAGGTGTGTGACTGATGCAGGGAAACGCAGACTTCAGATATGTGATAAACAATACAATTTATTAACACTAACCATACAAACATAAACGCAGTGCAATACTAAACATAATACAGTGCAAACAAACCCAACCAATCACCCACAGATAACAGTACATACAAGCAAGCGTCGTCAGGCAGGCCGGGTCAATATCAATTGGGCAGGTAGGTACAGGGGGAGCAAGCAGAGAATGGTCGGGGTCACAGGCCAGGTTCAGCAGGTAGCAAGCAGCGTAGTACAGAGGGTCAGGCAGAGGGATGGTCAGGGTCACAAGCCAGGGATCAAAACAGGTAACAAGCAGCGTAGTACAGTCAGGCAGAGGGACAGAAACAGGATGCAGGACAGATACAGGGCCCAGGACAAACACAACACCAAGGCAGAGTCTGTGGGTCTGGCCATCCCTTAAATACCCCAGCATCATCAGTTCCAGGTGTTAGCTGGCTGAAAGGTTGAGTCTCTGATTGCTGGGAGCACCCGCTGGCCAGCCCTGGTACTGCAGATCAAAAGGCAGGTGAGTCCCACCATTGCTGGCCAGTCCATTCCTGACACATGCCCTGCATATTTCAACTGGTGCCCCGGGTGCTGACACCACTTGCCAGCCATGTTTCCTTGTACACTGCCACTGGCAATGCAGGGAAAGCGCTGTGTTGTAATTAAAAAAAAAATTCTAACTGGCAGCTGCCAATAAAGCCATCTCTGCTGCTGTAAGGAGGACACATGGTGAACTGAGGAGCAGTTTGCAGTGTGCAGTTGTGAATGCGAGAGCTGTGGCGGGAGGGGAAGGGTGGAGTGCTGAGTACAGGAGAGAAAGCTGTGGATGGAAGCGAAAGGGGCTGATGGGTGACAACTGTTGATAGGGGGGGTGTGGTGCTAGGTGCAGAGGTCAGAAATGGGGAGGAATGGAGACTAGGTGCCAAGGTGAGAGCTGTGAATGGAGCTGTGTGCAAAGTCGAAAGCTGTTGATGGGGTGAACTGTGGACAGGGAGTGCAGGAGTGTTGATGTAGAAATGGGCAGTGAGGAGATATGGATGGGGATGTAGAGGTGAGCTGTGAACGAGGAGACCCCTTGACTTTTTGCTACTGCACCCCTGGATCAGACAGGTTAGATCCTGCCCTGTCATTCACCAGATATGGACATGATCACATATGGTCAATGACAATGCTGCTCCTTTATAGATGCAGATGAACTGTGAGTGTTGTCATGCTATGATAGGAAGTATGTTTGTAGGCAGGTGCAGTCTCTTTTCATCACTGCAGATGGGGGTCAACTGCAGCATTGCAGAAGGAGAGGAAGTCAGTAGAAACTTCTCCCTCTCTATGGATTCCTGTGTCACTGGGGAAGCGATCCGTTTAAATACTGCTGCTGTCCCATATGGCTTTGGAGGCCATCTTGGGTCAGGCAGAATCTATTTAAGACTCTGTCTCCCGAGCTTGGTACGCATTTTGCGAGTGGACAGTGTAGGGACAGGTTGCCCATCTGTCAGGGAAAGTGAATAGCGGTAAGAAAAGGTTCTGGATGAGTAGGGACAGGACAGGTACACACTAGTAATCCTCCCAATTTGGCACAGACTGGGCAGGCCACATTCCACTCTCAGAGACAGATGCCCTCGGCTCATCAGGACCTCCATTACTGTTCAACACTGTAAGCGTTCCCAGTCGGGTGTCCCCCCTATGTTTGTATCTTTGGACTGTGACTTCAATACAAGTACTGTCATTTGCACTTCACTCTGTGGGGGGTTTACCAAGTACCTGTTTACACTGATGCGTACTCTATGCGATTCAGATGCGATCCGAAAAGCACAGATTCACAAGTAACCTACAAAAGTATAATTTCCCATGCAGGCTGTTCACTTATATGCGGTGTGAATTTGATCCGATCCAAAAAAGGGTCCTGTGCGAGTTTAGTGTGGGTGTGGTGCAAATTTCATCTCCTGCTATGCCCAGTCCCCTCAGAAATCTCATTTGATTTGCACCTGTCAAAGCAGAAATCACACTAGGATACCGCACTGTGAAACTGCATTATATTCGTAAGGCATCAGTGTGAACCAGAACTAAAACTGGTGCACTCAGAATCTGGTGCAGCTGTGCATGGTAGCCAATCCGCTTCTAACCACCTTGTTTACCACTTCCCGTCTGACCTATGTACATAAACGGCCGGACCGGAGCAGTGCAGGAACAGGTAGCCTTTTAGAAACGTTCTCCTGCATTCCCTGCCTGTGCGCGCTCCCTGGGAACGACACAGCGGAGGACACATTGGAACACCGATCGCTGTGCACGACCTCTGTGTGAGGTCCCAATCATGCGATCACTGATTGGCCAATCAGTGATTACATGAATAGTAGTAAGCAAGATGTCACTTCCTGAAATCATTGCTTACTACTAGTGAAATCTGTGAATGATCACAGAGGTAACATGGTACAAGGCTATTCACATAGTGTCACTATGGTGGCACTGTACTGCTAAGGAGACAGTAAGTTAAAAAAACATAAAATAATAAAATAAAAAAAAATAAAATAAAAATGCAAAAATTTTTTTTTAAAAATTATAATTTTTGGTTATCAACTAATTTGGGTTATTTTTTTTTACTAAAAAGATAGCTGAATACATTTTGGCCAAGATTTATGCAGCAAGATTATTTATTTGCAAAATTGTATAAGAAAAACATTTTTTTTCAAAATGTTTGGATTTTTTAATTTATATAACAAAAAAAATAAAATCCCAGTGGTGAATAAATACCACCAAAATAAAGTTTTATCTGTCTCGAAAAAATGCTAAAAAATTCATATGGGTACAGTGTTGCATGACTGCACAATTGTTATTCAAAGTGTGATAGCACTGAAATCTGAAAATTGGCCTGGACAGGAACGGGGCGAAAATTGTGTGGACTTGAAGTGGTTAAGCTTTGACAATAAAACCTGAAAGCTGATTGGTTTCTATGCAGAGCTGCACCAGATTTTGCACTCTCCAGTTTTAGTAAATAACCACCAGTGTGTTTACTGTCGCCGCACCATGCTGCACCCAGCCATATGTTACTGGCAGGATCACAAGGTGAAAATAAAAACAAACACACACCCACTAACAAATGCAGTTACCATATCTTAGGACTGGTAATGTATGAACGTTTTGTTCTTGGGTTTAGGCGTACTTTAAGATCCCTGTGTGTATGTTTCCCCTGAAAAGCAAGAACTGACAAATATGATAGGCGATATACTATAACTCCCACTCCGATTAACAACTCTAGAAAAAGGAAGGTGAGGATCTGACTTGTAACCGCAGCTGGTTTTCATGGGAAGTGTGTAAATTGCAGAATATGCAAAGGGACTCAAGCCAAAAGGGGAAAAAAATACAGGGAAATTGGCAGCAAACCTGCAGAAAAAAAGTTCTACGGTTGTCAAGTGATTCTATGTGTGCAGCCAGGACACTGCCACTGCTTCTGGACCAGTAAATGCAGTCACCCCAGTAACAAAACCTGCTGGCTAGCAGTGAGGTCAGTCACACTTCAAATCTCCATATTTTTTCTACAGCACACCTTCAACAATTTTGAGCTTGCAAATGTTCTTACTGATGTAGTATTTCACCTTAGAGAATGTGGATTTCCCGCCACTCTTGTTTAAATGAATTGCAAAGGATAGACCACATGAGTCCTCTAAAAAAAACAAAAAACCGCTCAGACTTGCAACACTCTACATTGTCAGTAGGACTTTCATATTCTTATTTAACAAACCAAGTGGGAGGTTGACGATTAATTGCCAGAATAGTGGCTGAATGAGCCTTTGAAGTGCTTTGTGTGTCTCTCTTGCAGGCAAGGAGTCAGGAGACAAAAGGAAAC